CTGGGCCCGCCCCGCCCGCCCACCTGCTCGCCCCCACTCCCGAGGCGGCGCTGGAGGGGAGGAAGGCGGGGGCTGGCAGGTGCCTTGACCGCGAGCCGCGCGCCTCGGGCAGTGGGACCGGGCAGGGCGTGGGCACCTACTTCCCCGCCCTCTGAGCCGCTCCTGAGAGGGGGTGGGAGGCAAGGGCGAAAGAGGGGCGCCCTGAGGCACTCTGGGGGGCCACTGTGCCCCAAGGCAGGACCTGGAGGGGAGCTCTGCTGAGACCCGCTGCCCTGCCCAGGGACTCACGACTCATGCGACACCTCTAATCTTCACTCCGCACCCTGGGCTGATTTACTGGGTGTCTCCCCCCACCGGAAACTCCGAGGTGGACAGAGTCCAGCTCCGGCCCTTGACCCTGACGCCCCACACCGAGTGTGGTGCCCGCACAGAGAGGGCACAGTATGATTTGCAGAAAGAGCAAATGAAGTGGGTCCCACCTGTGCCGCACCGTGAGGCGCAGGAGACACCCGGGCCAGGAGCCTTCCTGGGAGCCTCTGGTGTGGTACACAGGGGCAGAGGGCCAGAGGGGGCGGCTGCCTCTTTGGGGACACCAGGCATTCGGCAAGGACTTTGCACGTGAGCAGTGCATGAACCACGCCTGCCGACAGCCTCTGCACTCCCGACTCCCCTCCGCGGGTGACCAGAGGGGCTGGAGCACCCAGACGGCCTGGCGAGAGGAGAAAGGACGCAGCGGACCATCTCTGACACCGCACAGAAGAGATTTCAAACCCATCAGAGGCTTAAATGCAAACGTTGAAATGAAGTTGTGCAGATCCTGTAAGAAAATGAGGATGAATCCCTCAGGAACCTGGGAATTGGGAAACATCTCCAATTATAACTTGGATTTCAAATGCAAAAGATAAAACAAGAAAAATAAAAAAACCACCATTAGCAAAGTAAAAGAAACAAATGACAAATTGGGACAGTATTTGCATTCCATCACAGGCAAAGGGTCAATGTCACCAATGTATATAAGGAACTTAGAAAACCGAGAAGAAACTGCCACATCCTATGGAAAATTGGGCAAAAGCTGAGAACAGGTCACAGGAAATAGGGTTCGTGACCTTTGCGCTTATGAAAAAGTGCTCAGCCTTGCCCATAACAAGGAAAATGCAAATTATAAAAGTACACCCTGATACCGCCGCCCACCTATCTGATGGGCAAAGCTCCAGGCCTTTGAGGGCGCACTCCAGGAGAGAGGCCTGCGAAACAGGTGTGCCGCTCCCCGCCGCAGGGAGAGACTCAGCAGTGTTAGCAAAAGTACAGGTGGCATCTGACCTGGAAATCCCACTCCTAGGAACTAACCCAAAGATATGTGGAAAACCAGAAAAGCATTTTCATATACGTGCGCCGCTCTTCACTGCGCACTCTCTGTGCTAGCAAAACCGTCGCGGCGTCCTTCAGCGCGTTCCATTCCGCTATGCTACAGCCGCACAAGGAAGCGTCGTGATCGGCATTGTCACTGATACTAAGAGGACAAAAGGAACCCAAAGAACTGTATCGTTAGTAATATTGGTATTGTTATTTTGAAATTACATATATATATCTCTCTCAAATAAAGAACCACTTTATAGTCCTTTGGAACCAAGATTTTCAGTATAAGAGAAAAGAGATAATATAAAATCAAAGAAGTAAAAACCAATCCTTAAGTTTGATTTGGAAATACTAGCATAAACCCCTCAGCTACTTTATCTGAAGACAAAATGATGTCCTAGTGCTGTCCACTGTACAGTCTGGGAAGAGGCTATTCAACAACAGGATAATTCAAGCCTCAGAAAGAAGTGTGGAGGAAGCACAGCCAATATCGTAGAAGCCCATCCATTCATGTAACGGCGACAGTCCTATTTGGCCTTTTCCGGGTTGCCGGAGCGCGGGGAGAGTCGGTGTGGACCTGCCTTCCTTGCACAAACCGAACCACAGGGTAGGAAGGGCTGGCCCTGCCAGAGATGTGCATCGAAGAATTTCCAGATAGAAGAGTGTGATGTGGGGAATTGCTCCGAAATAATCAGCAGGGAGGCGTGGGAGTTGGGGTAGAGATTAAACAAAACTGCCTCTGAAGTGGGAATTGTTGAGGCCAGGTGGTGAACACACTCGTCTACGTCTGGGTACGTTTCCATATTTTAAAATTCTAATAACTAGCCGCCCAGGCACCTGGGGCGCCTTCCCGGAGGCCCCAGGGCTGTGCCCATGGCCAGCTGGATGAGCTCTGCAGGGCTCTCGGCGGGTGATGCTGCTCTGCTAGTCTGGGTCCTGTCGGCTTGGGGACACTGAGGCAGGGGGGAGGCTGGGCAAGGGGTTGTCTGTGAGCTCCCGGCAAGCTCCAAAGAGCTGGGGGCCTGGGGAAGGTGCCCAACATGTGGCGGCTGCCTGACACAGCCCAGTGGCCACTCTCGGGGCTGTCAAGGGGGTGAGGAGGCCCCTTGAGGGGCCATACGCTGAGGGGACAGGGTCCCTAGGTCCTAGCCTGCTAGCTGCCACCTGCGCCCTCCAGGACATGCCCCCCACAAGCAGTTTCTGTGCAAACTGGAGCTGGGGGACCTGCAAGGCAGTTCCTTCGCCTGTGAAATCGGGGATCCGCCCCATCTCACAGTCACAGAGGGGAGGGCATGCGCCCGTGGGCCGTCGCCTGTCCCCCAACTCGCGGTCTGAGTGCACCCCGCCACCTCCTCTTCCAGGATGCGCTGGGCACCAGCTGGGAAGACTGAGCGCTGTGCACACGCATGTGCAAGCGTGTGCCGTCGTGCGGCTGTGTACGCACGGTGTACACAGGGCCCAGGATGCCCCGTCCCCGCCACTAAGAAAGGCAGCCCCAGGGCAATGGGCTCTGGCAGGCGGGGACAGCTGCGCTCAGACGAGAAACGAGTGGGGCAGAATTGGGGGGCGGGGAGCTACCCCACGGAGCGCGGCTGCACCATGGCTGGCCGGCCAGCTAGTGGCTGGGCCCTCCCCGCAGTGTCACACACCCACGCTCAGCCCTCCCACCCAGCTCCCTGGGTCCCGGTCCCGCACCAGGTGGGTGAGTGGGGGCGCTCCCCTGCTGTGCTTACCTTGGGCTCAGTGAGGTCATCTGGCGTCACCGCAGAGGCCTGAGCTGGTCTCACGCGCCTTGTTCTCGGGAAACTCCCAGACCCCATCAGGGCCAGCCCACCTGACAGGAGGCCCTTCTGGCATCGCTCTGGGCGCAGCACTGAGCTTCCTAACCCCGGGAGAGACTGGCAGAAGTATGAGCCGTCGGCGCTTGCTCTGTGGGGGCGGGGGAGTTGGCTTCCGCGGGCACCCAAGGGCTCCCCACTGGTGCCCCATCATGGCCATGACCCTCCCCTCCCCTCCAAGTGGCATGTTAGGGACCAGTCCTGAGATTGTAAAGATCTTAGGCCTCCTCCGGCCCTTGTGGGGGTCCCTGCCCAAGGGAGCAGCCACCACCCCCCACACAGCCCTTCCCTGGGCAGCTGTGCCCAGAGCCTCCCTGGGCCATTGCAGGCATGCCTGGCCGCTCAGAGAACAGAGGGCAAAAGACCTGGGGTGAGTGGGCTGCTCCTAAGTCCTTCCAGGCATGGCGGGCCGTTCCTGGCCAGGCCCTGTCCTCCCGGCTGGAGCTGCCCGCCTGGACCTCGCCCTCGCAGCCCCTGCGGCCGTCACAGGGCAGAGCCCAGAGCTGGCCTGAGCAGAGGCTGGACCAGAGGTGGTGCCCACAGGCTGGCAGCGAGGGTGAGGTGGGGAGCGAGGATGAGGAGGCAGGGATGACTCAGCCAGCCCGCTGGTATTTATTAGGCGCCTACTGAATTCCCAGCCTTGCCAGCTTGCAGCGTGGGGGAGGCCCCTGGCCCCAGAGAACAGTGACCTGTGTGTGAGGCACCTGGTGGAGGGAGGAGCCACGTGAGAAGCTCACATGCTCACGTCCTCCCCTGTGGCCACCCCGAGCCTGAGAAAGAGCCGCCTCCGCTCCAGCGGTGGCTTCCTGCCGTCAGGCTGGTCATTTGCCCTGGAAGCGCCAGGGGGCTGGGTGGGCGGTGCGGGGGCCGACGGACCACCCTTCCTTGAGTCATTTGCCATAAGCTACCTCCTCCGTGAAGCCTTCCTTGACCAGCCTGTGTAAAATTCAATCCCACCACTGGTGGACCGCACTTTGTTTTTCTCCACAGCCACGTTAGTGACTCATTTTCCCCGTTTCTCCTTCATTTCCTGCGCGTTGCTGGGTCCCCCGACGCCGACGCCTCACCTGGTGCCCAGCGCCTGGGCGCTGCTCCGTAAACCTGTGTGCAGTGGCCGCGGGCGCCGCTGGGTCCTTGGCCAGCTGGGGAGCAGGCAGCGGGGGGTGCTCCCTGGGCCACCAGCCCGGGGACCCCAACACTGCCCCTCCCCCACACGCGCCGGGCCGTGCACCGCCAGGCGGGGCCCCTGCTCCAGAGCCCTGGGCGTACACGCACACACACACACAGGCCCCATGTCTACACACAGGCACACACACACAGGCCCCATGTCTACACACATGCACACACACACACAGGCCCCATGTCTACACACAGGCACACACACACAGGCCCCATGTCTACACACAGGCACACACACACACAGGCCCCATGTCTACACACACGCACACACACACACAGGCCCCATGTCTACACACACGCACACACACACAGGCCTCATGTCTACACACACGCACACACACACAGGCCCCATGTCTATACACACGCGCACACACACACACACACACAGGCCCCGTGTCTACACACAGGCACACACACACAGGCCCCATGTCTACACACACGCACACACACACACACACAGGCCCCATGTCTACACACACGCACACACACACA